TAGGTAGCAAAAGCCTCTTCTTTCCCCTCTCCTCAGAGGGGCTGTACAAACCATCAGGCACCACAACCCCTCTCCTGCTTGGGCAGGACTCTGCAGATTGTCCTACTAGAAGGAAATGAAACTGTTTAATATAAATATTTATACATAATGTTACTTAATATAAATAACATTAACGTGAAAAGTCAAACAGTCTCCTCCTGCTGTGCCCAAGCAGCAAACCAGGCCCAGGGGAAGCCTCCAGTTACAGACAGAACACAGCCTTTCCTTGAGAACAACCACAACAGTTCTACTCATTCCTTTGCATTCTTCACCATCCACTTACCCAGCAGAAATGTTCATGTAGAAAGATGTGCTTCTAGAAATATTTTTTTAGAGATACACAGAGAGTTACCACCATTACAAGCCCAGGGATCTCTCTCTCTCTCACACACACACACACACACACGGAGCTAAAGCAGCATCTCAGGTGATGTTCACCCTCTGGAGAACCTGCTCCTGGTGTGGGATTTCAACTTCACGCCCCAACAACCCCTTCAAACAGGTACAAACAGCACGGGCTGGAGCTGAGGTGCCTCTGCATGCAGATGTCCCTGGATCCCTCTTTTTGGGGAGATCCCGTGTGCACACAACAGCGACATCAAGTGACCAGCTCCTTCCCTGGGTGTTTGTGCTCCAGGGACGGTGTCTGGGCACCAGCTGGCTCTTTGCTCCAAAAGAAACTCTTGAAGTGCCTGGAGGGAATCACCAGACATTAAACACTGTCTGTAGCACACATAAAGCTCAGGGTTTTAAACAGTTTCCCTACTAATCTCAAATGCTTCAACTCTCCCATCAATCTTTTCTCTCTCTCTCCAAAGGTCAGTGAAGCCTCAAATCATCCCCACAATGTTCCCAATTCCACAACCTTGGCCAAGAGCATCCCCTTTGCTGTGCTGGATGTGCTAAAAATGGTCATAACCCCCCATTAACTTCACCTCCCTGCGTGGCTTACGAGGGATCCCAACCCCCCCACACACCTTTGGCGAGCCCCCAAACCCCCCATTTCCCCTCACACTGCTCAGGCCACGGTCCCACACTCGACCCACTGCAGGGACTCCCCTGACTGTACAAAATGCTGCACCCATGGAGAGACTGAGAGAACTGGAGCAATTTAATAACAGATCCTGATCATTGACATTGAATCTGCTCAGGAAATTTTAACACTCCCTTTGGCTCCTCCCTGCTCCAAAGATCCCGGTGAGTTCACCCGGTGCCGGCAGGTGGGGGGGTTTGGAGCAGGGAGGCTCCAAAGAGGTTGGCCTGGGACCATGCCTGGGTGGTCAAACCGTTAAAGAAACTTCCTGTCCAACCATCCAGGAGCTGCTCCAGCAGCCACACCTGCCCCACCTGAGCTAGGACCAAGACCCCTTCACAGCTGCACCCCCCACACTGCCCCAGTCAGACCAGTTCCCCTCACCAGCTCAGTCCCAGGTTTCCCATCGCAGAGTCTCAGACGTCTCAGTCTTTTGATTTAATCTTGATGCAGTAACTAAGTAAAAAAATAACAGCTCGAGCTGGTGCCTCCAATGAGGGACCCTGAACAAGGGAACCCCTGAGCATTTATCTCCTCACAGTCTGAGCACAGGAGAGTCTGGAATCCTCGGCTCCTGCTGTCTCTGAGTGTCTTTCATTTGGCTGTGCCCAAAGTGTGGAATCCTCGGCTCCTGCTGTCCCCAGGTGCCCCTCACCTGGCCGGGCCACAGCTCCCTCCTGGGCCCTTTGTTGTTCGAAGGGTGGGCAGGTCCCAGTCCGTCACCAGGGGCTCCCACGCAGAGCTCAGCCTGCAGCTGCCCCCGAGGTGCCACTACTGAATGTAATCCTCAGTTTCCGTGTCTGTGTGTCCGTGTCCGTTTGTCCTTGTCCGTGTGTCCGCGTGAGGTTTGTGTGCCCCTGTCCGTGTGTCCAGGGGGCACGCGCATCTGTGTCTTGATATGTTTGTCTGTGTGTGCCCGTGCCCGTGTCCGTGTCCGTGTCCGTGTCCGTGTCCGTGTCCGTGTCCGTGTCCGTGTCCGTGTCCGCGTGTCCGTTGCAGTGTCCGTGTGTCCATCCCTTCCCGCCCGTTATGTGCGCGCGGGGCGGGGCGTAATGGGGGCGTGGTCTGTATAACCACGCCCACCCCACCTATCACCCCGCCCACCGAGGGCCCGGCGCGGCGGCGGGCGTTGATTGGTGGCGCTCTGATGGGGCGTGGCCGGGGGCGTGGCCACGCCGGCTGTCCCGAGGCTGAGCCCGGTCCTGGTCCCGATCCCGATCCCGTTCCTGTTCCCAGTCCCACCCCGCAGCGGTCCGGGATGGCGGCGGGAGCGGGCGGTGCCGCGGGCGAGCGACGGATTCTGTGCGTGGGGCTGGTGTGCCTGGACATCATCAGCGTGGTGGAGACTTTCCCGGTCGAGGACTCCGACACCAGGTACCGCCAACGGCGGGGGGGCTCCGCTGGTGCCCCCCAAACCGGCCCCGCGCCCACCGCAGCCTCCCACCCCCCGCAGGTGTGTGTCGCAGCGGTGGCAGCGGGGCGGGAACGCCTCCAACTCCTGCACGGTGCTTGCGCTGCTGGGAGCCCCCTGCGCCTTCATGGGCTCGCTGGCCCCCGGCCCCGCCGCCGAGTAAGTGGGGTGCGGGGACCCCCCCAGCACTGGGCACGGGGCAGACCCGCCCTGATACTCCACCGGCCTCTCCGTGTTACTCCACCGGCAGCCTCGACCCGCGGCGCGATGCCGTTGCCGCGGTCCCCCTGCTGCCCGCCCGCCCCTGCCGTCACCACTGGCGGCCGCCGGGACACCCGCACCGTCCCGCCCCTCTCGGGGGCGTGCGGGCCCCTCACCCCGCTCTCTGTCCCCCGAAGCTTCATCGCGGCGGATTTCCAGCGCCGAGGGGTGGACACGGCGCACGTTGCCTGGCAGCCCCGCGGGGACGTGCCCTGCGCCTGCTGTCTCGTCAACGCCTCCAGCGGCTCCCGCACCATCGTCCTGCACGACACGTAAGGGCCCGGCACCTGCGGGCAGCGCCGGGCTGTGCCAGCTCGGGGTTACACAGGCACGGGTTCTGACTCCCTGTAGTCCCGCCAGTGGTTCCCACAGCCCCCCGTTCACCACCTGCGCCCCCGCCGGCATTGGCGGTGACATCCCCACACAGCTACACGTTCTGAGGAGCGGGGCAGCCGGCACGGCCCCATGGGGACACCTGGCACAGCCATGGCACCTGCCCGGTAGGGGACCGGTGCTCCCTCGGCCGTGCCGGAGGGTCAGAGTCTATTGGGCATCGCTGAACCGCGGCCCCAGCCTGGCCACCGCTGCGCTGCCCTTCAAGTCGAGCTCAGGGTCCCAGACGCCATAATTAATAATTCACCCGGGCAGTGCCACCCCCGGGACCTCTGTCCCGGCAGCGTGGGGCCCTGCACAGCCCCTGTCACTGCCCTTCGCCCCCGGCCGCGTGTCAGGCTGGGGGCCCCCCGCCCCACCTGGCGTCCGTCCCGCAGGAAGCTGCCTGATGTGACGGCCCGCGACTTCGAGCGGGTCGACCTCTCCCAGTACAAGTGGATCCACTTCGAGGTGAGCACGAGGCTGCGGGGATCCTTGGGGCTGGAGGGACCTACTGGGATGGAGGGGGATCTCTTGGACTGTAGGTGAGCCCGGGGCTGGGGGGATCCCTCGGGCTGAGGAGCATCCCAAGAGGACGGAGCATCCCGGGACTGGGGGTCTCCCCCGGGGCTGGCGACCCCCCGGCGGTGGCGGAGCCATGCTCGTGCCCGCAGGCCCGGAACGCGGCGGAGCAGGGGGCGATGCTGGAGCGGGTGGAGCGGCACAACCGGGCGGCGGCACCGGCACAGCGGGTCCGGATCTCGGTAGAGGTGGAGAAGCCCCGGGAGGAGCTACTGCCGCTGATGGGACGAGGCGAAGTGGTGCGGTGCGGTGCGGTGCGCGGTCGGACCAAGGGGGCGTGGTCAGGGGCGGGGCTTACGGCTCATGGGCGGGGCCAAGGGACCGCCTCACCCGGGGGCGGGGCCAGGGGAGCTGGGGGTCCTGGTCCGGGCTCGAGGGGTGCAGGGGTGGGGTCTGGGGGTGTACTCAGGGCCTGGGGAGCAGTTGAGTCTGGGGAGCACAATCGGAGTCTGTGTAAGGGTGTAAGGGAGCTGGGGGTGCGACTGGGGTCTGGGGGTGTGGTCGGGATCTGGGGGTGTGATTGGGGTCCCGGGGCACCGCTGGGGTGCAGGTCCATCACTTCCTGGCTGGGGGAGCCGGGGGCTGCCCCCCGCCCCAGTCCCTCTTGTGCAGGTGTTCATCAGCAAGGACCTGGCCCAGCACTTTGGGTACCGCTCGGCCCCTGAGGCGTTGCGGGGGCTGCGGGGGCGCATCCAGTCAGGGTATGGGGGGTGCACGGGGGGTCGGGAGGGCTGGGGTTGCACGGTGAGCCCCACACCCACCCCACACCCCCCCAGGGCCACACTGATCTGCGCCTGGGCCGAGAAGGGAGCCGACGCCATGGGGCCTGATGGGGAGCTGGTGCACTCAGACGCCTTCCCCCCAGAGACCCTCGTGGACACGCTGGGGGCTGGGGACACCTTCAACGCCGCTGTCATCTTTGCGCTCGCAGAAGGTGGGCACGGACACAGCACGGGCACAGCGTGGCCGTGGCTCTGCCTGGCGTGGCCGTGGCACAGCTGCGCTGGAGACACAGCGTGGCCACATCTCATCCTGGGCCCCGTCCCCAGGGAGGACCCTGCAGGACGCCCTCACCTTTGGCTGCCGGATCGCAGGCAGGAAATGTGGGATCCAGGGCTTCGATGGCATCATCTGAGCCTGTGCCTGGAGATCCCCTCGCCCCCCAAGAACACCACATCTCCGTTGGACCCAGCACCTCCCCCAATAAATCTCCACATGCCCCACACCAGCTGTGCCCCCCCTGCCCTGGCTGAGGTCCCACTGCCACAGGGGTGCACTGACAACGGCCAAGGCCACCGGCAGCCTCTATTTCTCTGTCCAATGTGTTACAGGGGAGACCACATGACCACAGTCTCCCAGCCCCCCCGCCTGGATGCAGGGTGGGGGGCACAGGGACTCCCCTTCACTCTGTGCCCTGAGCAGGTCAGGAAGCAGCTAGAGTGTTGCTCCACTCAGCTCTTCCCACAGCCCCCCACCATCTACCCCTCCTCAGAATCCCTCCATGCTGGGGCTGCCTCCCCCTCTAGGGCTTCAGCTTCAGGGGTTTCCTCTTCCTTAGAGGCGTCACTATTGTGGGCTTCAGCCTCGGGGGCTTCTTCTGCCTCCACAGCCTCAGCCTCGGGGGCTTCTTCTGCCTCCACAGCCTCAGCATTGGGGGATTCCACCTTGGGGGCTTCGTCCCCCTCCATGCCTCCATCCTCAGGGGCTCCAGCCTGGGTGGCTCCAGTCTCAGGGGCAGCCTGCCCTGGGTCACTCACTCCCAGGTGCCCCCTGAGCATCTCTGTGCCCTCCTCAGGCACAGCCTCAGCCCCTGTTTGTGGCTCCAGGGGGGGCTGCCCCAGGGGTCCCCGACCCCAGTCAGGTGACAGCAGCTCGTGAGGGTCCAGCAGCCCATCCCCGTTGCGGTCCTGCCTTACCAGGGCTCGGTCCACCAGAGCAGCCATCTGCAGGGATAGGGGATGGGGGTGAAGGCCCAGCCTCAGGGCTCTGGGGGTGCAAGGGACCATGCCTCTGGGACCCACCATGTCAGGGTCTGGCGGCCCCCTGGCCTGTGCCAGCACAGTGCCCAGCAGCTGCAGCAGCTCCAGCCCATCCAGGTGCCCACTCCGGTCGTGATCATGGAGCACGACGAGGTAGAGCAGGGCTGTGGGGCACAGAGGCACCGTGGGGCTGGGGTCCCTGACCCCACCAGCCCCTCAGTCCCCCATCACATCACATGGCCTCACCCTGCTCCCGTGGCATGGTCTCCACGTCCTGCTCTGGCAACCCCAGGCTCCGCACTGCGCCCCGCAGCAGCCTGGAGGGAGTGGGGCTGAGGGTGGGCAACACTGCCCCTGCCCCATGGCCCACCCTGTCCCATGAGCAGCCGGGCACTGCCCAGGCCCCCCATCCATTGCTGTTCCCCCCCAGCGCACAGCCCCAGCCAGGGTGGGGGTCCCAGCGTTGTGGGGCTCTCCAGGGCAGGCACTCACGGCAGCGGCAGCGACTCTGGGCTCAGCGGATCGGGATACGCTTCCGGGATTGTGGTTGGTGGGGGCTCAGGCCTGGCCAGGAGATGGGGGGTCACCTGTGCCCCTGGGGGGGGCTGTCTGCTCTGGCCTGACATCCCCCCATCCATGGCCCCCACAGCCCTCTTAGTCCCACCCCTCACCGTGCACCCCCAGACCCCAGTGCCCACCCACAGCCACGTGTCCCCTCTATACCTGTGCCCCCCTCCTGCCCAGGTGCCCATTGGCTCCCATGCACCCCACCCACACTTGTGCCCCCACACCCACACGAACCCTCACATCTCTGCCTGCCCTTAATTATGTCCCCTCATTCCTCTGCCTTCCACCTGTGTCCCTCTCCCATACCTCATACCTGTACCCTCCATATCTGTGCCCCCACACCTGTACCCCCATATCCATACCGTCAACACCTGTACCCTCCGTATCTGTGCCCCCCACCCCTGTACGTCATACCTCTACCCCCCTACCTGTGCACCCCTGCCCTGGGGGCTGCCCGTGCCGCCGGCTCCAGCAGCAGCAGCAGCAGCAGGGTCAGCGTCACCGGTGGGCTCCTCATCCTGCCACCTCGGGCTGCAGTGGAACGAGAGTGGCGGGGTCGAGGGCGTCCGTGGGCGGGTCGGGGGCGCGGGGCCGTGGGAAGCCGGCTGTAGGAGAGGGGCGGGAGCTCCGGGAGCTGCCCCGGTCTCAGCGCGGCGGGGACAGGCTGGCACGGACGGGGAGGTTGCGCAGGACAGCGGCACGCGTGGGACCGGCTGGCGCTGCTCACCCTGTGCGCGCTCCCCGACACCCACGGTGCCCACTCACCCAGCCCCGCTCGCGTCTCGGTGCCGCCCGCCCCACCCCAGGGCCACGTAGCCGCCACGTCCCGTCCCCGCCACCGGTCCCAGGAGCGGCCCCGCCCGCCCCGGGCCCTGCCCTGCCCTTCCCAGGGGGGTTCGGCCCCACGCGGGACGTCTCGGTGCAGCTCCAGGAGCAACCGGAATCCAGCGCTTCTCAACCGGGGCCAGGGACGGGCGGAGCCGCAAGGTGCGGGCGTGATCACGGCAGGGGTGGGGCCGTCCCAGTGGGTGAGACCCTCCCTAAATCCCGCACGGCCCCAGGTACAGCCGGGCCAGCCCAGCATCGCCCCCTGGACCCTGCACCAGCACCACTGAGGGCCTGGGTCAGCCAGTGCCGGTACCTGCTCGCTGTGGGGGGCTCTGGGAAGGCCCCCTGAGGGCACGGCCAGGGCCCCCCCCCACCCCGCAAGGCACACAGTCTCCCGGACTGTGACCAGTGTGACACGCCCAGCCCTGCCCACTCCCCCGACACAGACACAGCGCTGCCTTCGTGCTCCAGTTTAATGGCCATAATGGGATGGGGGGTCAGCAGGACGCCCTCCTTCTGGGGCAGGGGACCCCCGTGTCCGGTAGGCCCTCTGTCCCAGGGCCAGCCCCGCACCGCTGCCAGCACAGTCCCACCGGGCCAGGCCCTGGGCGGCCCCCCGGACCCTCCTGCACTCCCCGAACACCAGCGGGGGGTGGGGTCGGGGCTGGTCCCTTTTCTGTTTCACAGTCTGTGGGGAGGGGCTGTCGAGGCCAGAGGGTTGCTCCCGGCGCCGAAGGGTCCCTCCAGGGGCTGGGGGGCTACAGGAAGCCCGGGAAGGCAAGCTGCAGCAGCAGGATGGTGGCCACGATGAGCCCGGCGCAGAGCAGCAGGAGCAGCCAGACTGGGAGGGAGCCTGTGAGGTAGAGAAGGGTGAAGTGGGGCTGCAGCCTCTCCATGCTGCAGGAGGGGCAGGGGCACTCCAGCCCCCAGGCAGCACCCCAGCAGACCCAGGACGTACGGCGGGTGGGCAGCAGGTGCAGCTTGCAGCGACTGTCCACAGCCACGCTGAGCAGGGCGGCCTCGTGGCCCCCCAGCAGCTCCCGCCCGGGCTGGCTCTCAGGGACAAAGGCCACGTCGGTCACTACGATGCCGTGGGCCTCCTTCACGTAGTACAGCCTCTGGGGGAAACAGGGGAGTGAGAGGCCGGCTGGGGGGCACCGGGGCTGTCCCACACCCCCACCCCAGCTCACCTGCAGTGAGAAGGCGATGTGGATGGCCACAGAGCCCGTCACCGTTCCCAGCCCCAAGAAGGTGCCTGAATCACTGTGGGGGGAAGGCAGTGAGAAGGGGCTGCCACAGCCACCTCATCCCTCTCCACCGGCCCCGGGGTACCTGATCGAGAGGCAGGAGATGACTTCAGAGCCGCAGGGCCGTGTCAGCAGTGGTAGGAAGCTCTTCCCGTCCCACTTGGTCAGGTAGCAAGGTGGGGGACGGCGCTCCCGCTTGTGGGGCACCTGCACCGTGTAGAGCCGCAGCGCCCCGACACTGTCCTCCACCGCCCCAAACCTGCAAGGGACAGGGGGTATGGGGCACAGGGGGCACAGGCTGCAGCTCTCCTGGCACTCAGCCCCCTCCTCAGTAGAGCAGCAGAGCCTGGGGGACCCCTCCCTGCAGACCCAACTGTGACAGGGCACAGTAAAAGGCAGCAGGGGGGCTAACCCATCCCTAGCACTGGTGGCCCATTCCCAGCTCCCTGTCCCGTCTCCAACCCCACAGCCCATCCCCAGCCCTGGTAGGCCGTTCCCAGCTCCCTGCCCCATCCCCAGCCCTCACCGGCAGGCCTGGTAGCGATAGGCCTTGTCAGGGATGCCAGGCAGGTTCTCGTGCCAGCGCAGCCCCGTCACCAGCTGGTCCTGCTGCCACACACAGCACTGGAAATCCCTCCCTGCCGTCACCACCTGCCACACACAGCACAGGGGTCAGAGGCTGTTCTTCTGTGGGGCCGAGGGGCCACAGGGTTGCCTGACACTCACCTTGTTGTCAGGGCTGAGCGCAATGTCCTCGATTTCCCCATCGTGGGCTTTGAACTCCAGCTTCTTCTTCATGCTGGGGAACTGCAGGGGCAGAGCCGGTAAGGGCGATGGGCAGGGGCTGGGCTCCCCTGCAGCCCCGGGCAGGTGTGGGGAAGCAGCCAGGGAACTGTTGTTGATCCAGACATCCCTGCCCGACACCTACTGCCATTGGCACGGCAGTGCTGGCTTCTGCTCCCCCACGCCTGTGCCAGCCCCCCGTGCCCACTTCCTTTCACCTGTGCCACTCCTGGCTCCCCCATGTTCCCCCAGCTTTCCGTGCCTGCCCTGGCTCCCTGTGTCCCCCTCCAGCCCCCTATGCCCAACTCCACTCTCCTGCAGCCCCTGGCCCCCCTGCCCACCAAGGCCCGCTCTGTGCCCACCTCCCAGAGGCGCAGGAAGCCGTCGGCCCCACCGGTGGCGAGCAGGGCACCGTCAGTGCTGAAGCGCACGGCCTTCTGCAGGGCGTCGGCGCTGAAGTCGGTGCGCACACGGTGCAGGCTCTCCACCCTCACCTCGCGGGGCCGGCCCTGCGTGTCCCCCGCAGCCCCCGCTCCGGCGCCGCGCCGCCGCCGCACGCCCTTGTCCCCCCCGCCTGCAACCGGGACACGGGGCTGGCAGGGTGGTCACGGGGGCAGTGCCCACCCCATAGCACCCTACGCGCTGCCCCACAGAACCCAGGGCACACGTGGGGGGAGTCCAGGGCAGCTCTCATCCCAAAAGCCCCCACAGCACCCAGGGTGGGCACAGGGAGGGATCCAGGGAGGTTCCGGGACACTGCCCATCCCCAAAACACCCCACAGACCTCCAGCTCCCCACACCCCGTCCCACAGCATCCAGGGCAGGCACGGGGGAGATCCAGGGTCTGTGGAGGGGGGTCCACAGATGAGCCCCATCTCCAAAGAGCCCCACAGCCTCTGCCCCACGGCAGCCAGAGCAGACAGAAGGGGTGGGTCCAGGGCAGTGCCCATCCCCAAAACACTCCCCAGCCCCCCACACCCTGCCCACAGCACCTGGGATGGGTTCAGGGAGGGGTCCAGGCAGGGCACAGAGGGGTTCCAGGGCAGTGTCCCATCCACAGAGCTCCCCATGGCACCCAGTGCAGGCACAGGAAGGCAGGTCCAGGAGAGGCATGCAGGGGTTCAGGGCAGTGCCCCATCTCCAAGCCACCCCACAGACCCCCAGCACCCCATATCCTGCCCCATAGCACCCAAGGTAGGCATGGAGAAGGGGGATCCAGGGCGGGCATGGGGGAGTCCACAGAATGCCTCATCTCCAAAACACCACCCAGCCCTCCACACGGCACGCAGGGCAGGCATGAGGGGGCAGTCCAGGGCAGCGCCCGTCCCCAAATCATCCCAGCCCCAGGGCAGGTGCTCCACGCCTCCCGCGGTGACTCGGGCTCTCACCGTCGCGCCCGGCGGTGCCCGGGCCCTCGGGCTCCTGCAGGCTGAAACGCAGGATGTGGCAGCTGTTGTCCTGCCCGGCGGCGATCACGTCCCCGGCCAGCGCCATGGTCATGGTGGCGCGGGTCTCGGTGTCGTGGCAGTGCAGCAGCGACGCGCTGAGCTGTCCCCCGATCTGCTCCAGCTGCAGGAAGTGCTGCGGGGCGGAGGGGGCTCAGCCGCCGAGCCCCCCAAATCCTGCAGCCTCCGCTCGCTCAGACCCGCCCCTCACACACCCCTGGGCCCCCCAGCCCCCCCAGTGCTCGAGCCTCCAACCCCCACGCTGCGGCCTGCACCCCCAAACCCCCCGTCCCCGCGCTCAGACCTGCCCCCCCCCCCAGTAACCCGGACCCTCCAAAGGTCTGGGCTGCCCCCGTACCACGCCATTGCGGATGCCGGTTTTGGCGGCGCCGCCGCCGCCGGCGGTGATGGCGAGCGGCCGGCGCGGGTGCAGGCGGACGGTGTAGAGCGGGAACGGCGCCCGGTACAGCTCGGGGGGGCGCCGGGGCGCCATCGCAGCGCCGTGGCGTCACAGCGCAGACACGTCAGCACGCACTCCCGCCCGGCCCACGGGGGCGGGGCCTGGAGGGGCGGGGCCAAAACAGGGCGGGGCCAAGTGCCCCACGTGGTTCGGGGGACAGTGGGGACACCGCAGTGCTTGGGGACATGGTGTTCCCCTGGGTTCCCGTGGGGACTCCCAGTGCTTGAGGGGTTTTGGGGTACAGCGAGACCCCCACTGATCAGGGAAATGAGGACTTGCGGGCTCTTGGGGGACAGTGGGGATACCCCAATGTTTGGAGAGATGGGGCTCATGTGCCCTGTGGCTTCCTGGAGTACGGTGGAGAGACCCCACTGCTTGGGGAGCGGGGGGTCCAGGGTTACAGCAGGGAGGGGGCAGTTCCTGGGGACCCTCTGACACCTGTGCTCCAGAACCGTTTATTGGGGGGACACTGAACACAGAGACAGGTGACAGGGGCTCAGGGGGTGCACTCTGCGCCCCGAGGGGTCCAGGCAGCCCCCAGGGCAGAGCAGTGTGTAAGGCACATGGCCGGGCCGGGGTCACTGGGCAGCATCCCGACCTGGGAGGGGAGCACTGCTCTGACACCCCCCAGACATGGTCCCAGAGCCCCCGTGGGGGGCAGCCCACCAGCCCCCTCCCAGGGATGCCACACCCCATTATTTGGCACTCCGTGACCGTCTGTGGGTGCTCCAATGGGGCTTTGAGCCCCCTGGCCAGGGGGGGTGGCCAAGACCCTCACACCGGGGTGGTCAGAAGGAGGTTTCCTGCACAGCATAGGTGGGGGCCACGGCACTGCGG